AATGGACAGACAACTATTCAACACATATAAATGTACAGCCAACTCAAAGCATATAACATAATTTAATTGAATTTATATCATATATAACAGATACTAAACGCTATACTTCTTAATGTTCTAGAATTATCAGTGTCACTTGAAAAATGGTGGAGTTGAACTTCAAAAAACTGTGGAACTGCTTGTAGACGACAGTTTATACTATATGATTTGTCATTGTAATTAGCATAAATTAATATTGATTATGTAAATGTAAGCCTCGGCGGCACATTGTTTCTTATCGTAGMAGGTACAYATGTATGGTAAGTGTTCGTAAATATTTAGGTATTTTTAATCGTTTTTTCATAGCCTTTAAGTTTCTTTTGGTCTGTAGGAATATTCTTTGTAAGTTTATCTTTTGTTTTGTGATCTTTAGTGAACCGTTACTGACGTTACTGCTGGTTTAGAACAATAAAAGGAGATTGTTGTTTGTAGCGTGTCTCGCACGTGTTTATCTTTTGAAGAACAGTGTGTCCACGAAATGCATGAAATGTCCAATACACTGCTTGAAATCACCAGCACCYTTCTCAAGAACTCATCCACATGACCAGTATATGATTGTCATGATACATGTTATTGGATTAGAGAGAAAAAAATATTTCTGTATTATTTTTTTTGGTCCGGTAGCCTAGTCATTCGCGCGCTCTGATTGGCTAGCGTGCGGTCCGGTTTTTCACGATCTACCCGGTCCAACAGTATCCTGCAGCTAGGCTGCGAGCAAAGTTGCATAAAATACAAATAAAAGAGTAAGAATGTTATTTTTCGGCTATAGGTCGGTCCGTATAGAAAAACACTGCCCTCGGTTTTTTATGTACGGACCTCGCTGCACTCTTTCTGTACTGTACTGTCAAGACCTTGGGCAGTGTTTTACTATACGGACCTCCCAGCTGGTAAATAACATATATATATTATTAATCAGAGCAATTAAAGAGCATTTTTGACATTAATTTATTCTTTGTCCAAAATTAAAACAGGAAAAAGTACTCATAATCAGCGGATAGAGAGGCTATGGAGAGATGTCTTTTCTGGATGCCTTAGCCTTTTTCATGGTCTTTTGGAAAGTGAACATRGTTTGGATGCAAGTGATGACTCCCATTTATGGTGCATACACTATGTTTTCTTACCTATCATTGATAGGCATTTGACCACATGGAAAGATGCTTGGATTCARCATCCAATGAGGACACAAAAGAACAAGTCTCCCATGCAATTGTGGATAAGGGGGCTTCAATCTGCTTGGAGGTCTCATTCTACAGAGGATGAAGTTTTTGAGGTACAGTATAATAATTGTACATCCTCATGAAGTGATCAGCAAATACAAAATTGAATGAAACTGAATCGAATCTTTCTTTTTTTAGAATGAAGGTGATAACTATGGAATTGGTTGGGGTGGACCTCTTCCAGAAATATCTGATGAAGTTGAAGTTGTTGAAGTTCCAGATACCAGGTGTCATGTAGCTTCCAATGAGAAATGAAGGCGTGGAGAGGGGGGAGTAACATTGACCTCGCTGAGAAAGGGGCATCATTAAACCAAACTCATTCAAAAAACCCAAACAATCACATGACAACTTACTCAAAGTTAATTATCTTTTCCACTCATTTCTCAACTTCTCCCCCAACCCCCTCCGATAATTATTGCTCAGTCCCTTATTCAGCAAATGAACTGAAAGTAAAACACCCCCAGAGCACAAAGAAGAGGCTGCTAAGAAGGCCAGCTATAGTTATTTTTCAGAAAAATATTAGATATACATTTAGAGATATACATTTTTGCACAAAGTGAACACAAGCTGTATGTGTTACAAATTTATTTTGTAATATAGTAAATATATTTTGTAACATAGTAAATACGTAATAAATGCTTGTATTCAAAATCACGAATATATGAACCTTGCAACATATAAAAAATATAGCCTTGTGAAGTAAATGGAAACCTTGCAAATACAACTATATATAAAAATCTTTAAAATATAAACAAAAAAAATGAACCTAACAAATATAAACCTTTTTAAATAAACAACTTTGTAAAGGTTTTTTTTTTAAATCTGGAAATCCTTTACTTTTACTTGGATTATTTTCACTTAGAAATGACACAGATATCAATCTTTTTTTTTTAAAGTCTAGTCTGACAGCATGAAAGTAGTGGCATTAAAGATTCTGCCCCTTACCTGGGTGTTTAATATRTCTTACAATCAGAGAAAAAATAGTGTATTCATCATATTTACCTACAACTGTTTGTGTGAGCCATAAATTAATAAAAATTATGTATAGTATAGGCAGTGCAAGTACATGCATTTAATTGGGACACTTTCTGGACAATTTGGTACTTCAAGCTTCAAAAATCAAACAAAACGATATGATATTTCATTTTGAAACTATTAGTCTTGAATGTCACACACACATACTTTATCAGCTAAATTGTATAAAAAAGACAAATACAACTTAAAACCTCCCATATCCTTGAAATTGAGAAGATATAGTTACATCCATCCTCTTTTTGAAGTCMAAAAAATCCTTAGCATCTATGGGGATGGATACCATCCCCATGCATGCTTCTGGATCTGGCAGACTTTTGTCTTTTCTGTTGAACTTCACATAAATAGGTTGATTTGGGAATTTGGGACTTCCAAGGACAAATTGTAAGAACCGTCCAGTTGTTGGGGTATGCTCTTCCTTTGAAGAGACTGAAATAAATAATAGGTTGGAGGAAACTCTAAAGCTTTATTACAGTATAACAAAGTTTCATCATCTCATGTTTTGTAGGCATTTCGGTATTACAAATACCGAAATGAGGTAATGTCCATGTAAACAAATGAACTTACCAAATATACAACTCTGTTGCTTACCTGGAAGGRATGCAACATAATCTTTGAGGAACTGAAATGCCTCTTTATGATTGTCATSCAACACCYAAGTTCAGAGATAGTTTTGTCACTAATGCAWCGGCTGGGACTTGGATGTCATCAGCTTTTGGAAAAACCTCCATCCATAATTCTCTCTTATTCTGGAGAACACTAGCCAGCTGTACTATTTCCATTCCTCGTCTGATGTCATCCATTTTTCTATTCATTAGAGAGTAGTGCATCATGACCTTATCGCATGCGATATCTTTATTGGCCTTAGTAAGCTGCTTGTTAACAAAACCAGCTGTAACCAGGGTGTTGGTAACCTCTGCATTACCATTAAGGCAACCAAAATCTTCTTCTGTTTCTGCATTCCTTRTTTTTAATTTGGTTATGACAGCACAGATGTTAYGTCTGTGTTATTGTCAGTGTTCTGTAAGAACTGTCCTTTTCAATTGTATCCCTTATATCAAGATCTGCTATGTCCTTGACTGTTAGATACTGTACTGCCTCATCAAATGAACCTGTAATAATATAGGCAACTGCTGCCTTTGACAAGCCAACAAGTGGATATCCATCATGTAATACGGAATGGCTGATCATAAGACCAGTGTAGTAAAACAGCAAAGAATCATATGCTTCTACACAATGGATTGGTAGCAAATGATCACTTTCACCCTCAAACAAACTAAGACCTCCTTGATCACCAGATACCAGGCGAGACATAGCTGTATAGAAGTATTCCCTGGTTGGACCTGAGGCATCACTTCCATCTTCTCCCCTAAACTCGACATCTGTAGTTGCTCTGGCATTGAGCCTTTTCTTATATAGTTTTAAGACTTCACGTAAAAGATTTCGAGAGTGACGATCAATAACTATTTTCTGCTCCATATTTGGTTCACACCAGTGTCGCCTGAAGCCTGAAAGTGTTGAGGATAGAACAGGTGTTGTGTCAAACACTGACTTATCCAGATCTTCAAAAKCGGTATCTGAAAAATGTACATTATCGTCTGCATTATAATATTATTGTGAAAAAACTGGAATTTTGACATACATGTACATTCAGAAAATKTATTGACCTTTGCTGTATATTCTACTTYGTGTGTTATTCTGAGATTTGTAAAATAAGTGATACTGTTCACGTTTAAAACAAACTATTAAAAGCAGTGAGCTTCATGTACTGTATTTTTCTTCATGTATTTTCCAGTGGAGACTGGAATGGTTTTGGATTGCAGGTCACACAATAATTTTTTTTATTAAAGACACRCATGTTGGTGTAACATTTCAGGGCTTTTTCCCTTTAAAAAGATTCATAAACATGAAGTATACGTTCTCAAAAATATTGTTTTTACTTTATACTTATGAGTAAAAGGTTATTCAACGAAAAAAAGTGCTTTCTACTACCCTGTATATTAAAAACATGTGCATACCAAGGAAAGTAGATATAACTCCATGGAATGTGCCCTCTTTAGATAATGTCTGCTGAATCTTTCTATKACTTTTATTCGGAAACATTTGCATCAAATCTGCCAACACAATCTCATGGTCATCATCATCCTGAAAATAAACATTTCATTTACATTAGACAATTTTGTTAGTACGAATCTAAGTAGAATTATAGTGCTTTCAATGTATAAACTAATTTAGATTTGATGTAGCCACTTCCAATTCTATACTTACCCAAACTGTTGGACCTTTTTGAGCTGGTTTCTCMTTACATTTTTTACTTTCTTCTTCTTCACATGCACATTCATCATCTGAGTTTGTGAGATCTACCCTTGTACTCTGTTTGTTAATGCTGATATTAAGTTAACAATATAAAGTATGTCTTCTTCACTTACACAAACAAATATTAACATAATAACCAATACTGCATGTRCTCTATGTAAACTGTTAGTCAAGCATCATATTTTTTGAAATGTCCATGTTTTGTCAYTGATTTAGAGTATTCAGTAGATGTGATGTTGTACCATTTTGATGTAAAGATCAATATATTTTTAAATGCAGTATTCCTCTTAATTACTTGCAACCAAATCTAATTTTCTCWGGCAATAAAATCATACATACTGCTGACTACTTTGACTTGAGGTACTGTCTACAGAGATGCTTGCAGTACTAGTTGATGTACTTGATGAGCACAGAGAATCCACTGTTTTCTGTTTCTAGCACCAATAATAGCTCATAGTTAGCTGCATGATTGGTATAAAAGTCTCATTTCAGATGATACCTTTTTAAATACATATTTTTAAGGAGAAAATTTGTGAAAAGTAATCAAAATTACAATAGAATGACAAATAWTTTCAAATAAAGGAAACCAGGTAATGGAAGACACTAAACAAATAATAACATAGGGCGTGTAAACACGACATGAGAGGCAAATRGAAGACAYTAATTGAAACATTACTGAGTCCATGAAGTCAAGTCAGAATTCACCCCTTGACTGTAATACATAATAATGTCTGAGTTAATATGCCTTTGAAACATTGGATTTTATTGTATTTTCTTTGTTTCAATTGTTTTTACAGGATGAAATTCCACTTAATACCACTTCAGATTCAACTACAGATATGTCAGCTGTTTCACATGTAAATACATAATAAGCCTGGTATATTTGAAAAGACTTCAGATTACTAACTTTTGATTTTATTTATTTTCTTTTTTTCAATTGCTGTTACAGGATGAAATTCCACTTAATACCACTTCAGATGCAACTACAGATATGTCAGCTGTTTCACATGTAAATAATGCCTGAGTTAATATGCCTGGTATATTTGAAGAGATTTATTACAAACTTTTGATTTTATTGTATTTTCTTTGTTTCAATTGTTTTTACAGGATGAAATTCCACTTAATACCACTTCAGATTCAACTACAGATATGTCAGCTGTTTCACATGTAAATACATAATAAGCCTGGTATATTTGAAAAGACTTCAGATTACTAACTTTTGATTTTATTTATTTTCTTTTTTTCAATTGCTGTTACAGGATGAAATTCCACTTAATACTACTTCAGATGCAACTACAGATATGTCAGCTGTTTCACATGTAAATAATGCCTGAGTTAATATGCCTGGTATATTTGAAGAGATTTATTACAAACTTTTGATTTTATTGCATTTTCTTTTTTTCAATTGCTGTTACAGGATGAAATTCAACTTAATACCACTTCAGATGCAAGTATAGATATGTCAGCTGTTTCACATGTAAAYACATACTAATGCCTGAGTAAATATGCCTGGTATATTTRAAGAGATTTATTACTAACTTTTAATTTTATTGTGTTTTTTTTTCAATTGTTGTTACAGGAAGAAATTCAACTTAATACCACTTCAGATGCAAGTACAGATATGTCAGCTGTTTCACATGTAAATACATAACTATGYYTTAGCTATTTTTTCATACCACAGACAATTTTTATAACAAGTGTTCCTTACACACATGACATATTTTAGGAATGGGGATTAGCTGCCTCTGAACTCCATTTGGAATGTTATAAGATTTTTGTAAAATCTTTTGTTTAGATGTCTACCAGTATGGGTTATAACAAATTGATATTGTGATACAGGAGTTAAACAGCAATGTCCCATAACATTTAT